ATAAATCAGTAATATGAGATGTATTCACCCAATTTCGGTTAAGGTAATGAAAGACTGGTAGAAGAATTTTTGCACTGTCACGGTTCGACTCCCGCTGGGGGTGTTGATAAGACCGATGCAAGTTCGAAACTGCAGTCCACTTCAGCCTGGATGAGAACAACTTTTGGGAAAGCAAGGCTCTGTTAAATTCAATGGAAACGTCAGCTCTACTCATTTCATTGTGGGAAAATTTTTATACCAGTCCTTCCTCACCTTAAACGAAATTAAGTGAATACATCTCATATTACTGATTTATTGGTAGTCTCGAAACTCTAATTAAATACGATTAATTGATAGATGTTCATATTTTAATTATCACAATGTGAACTTCAAGAAATCTTAAAATAATGGTATCTATTAATCAGGCTTGTATCAAATATAATGTAGAGTAATGGTTTATATAATTAGTGAAGTGGAAGTCGTTTAACCGTGATGATTGATGGCAGATGTCATGCTCTATCCTAATTACTATAAGCTGTCACTTCTAGTTTCGTACAGAAAAGTACACATTAAAGCACGTAATGCTAAAATATCTGCACACTCTTCTTGATTGATATATGAAAATAACTAGCTAAATCACTTTATATCCTAAATATTTATGTACTTAGGGCATATATATATATATATATATATTAAGCAGGGACTTTTTATGGCTGCTTGGCAGGGTTAAGGAGAGGGAGGTAGGGGACTAATCAGAATATGAAGAAAATAACAAAGAACCACTAAGCAGTCCTTCAAGCAGATGAGGGAATATTAGCAGCCATAGGGGAGAGAAAACATTACACTGAGTAAATGAAAATTAGTCTCGACGACCTTAGCACCTATCAAATACTAAGAAAGGATTCATAAAAAACTTTTACTCTAAATAGAATATGTTCAACAAAGCAACTATTTGAAACCCATCGTTTATTTGAGTAAAACCCAAATTGCATTCCTTTTCAGTGCAACATATTTATATGTGACTAATATTTACCGAAGGTGTATGGACCAAGATGGTGTAGCTTTTAGTATGGTGGCGGTGTACTTTCGTTGAATAGAAGTGGTTGAACCTCGTTTTCGCAACTTAGTCTTATTTTTAGGGTAGATCTAGATGAACGCATCTGATCCGGAGTCTATAGTTTCCATAATAATTTCCAGCTTGGATTCAAGATTCGAGAAACTATCAATAAACTGATTAAGATAAACTTGATAAACTTTAGAAAAACAGGATTTGCATATTCCTTAAGAAAACTCAGCGGAGATCAGGAAACAACAAGACTGACAAAAAGAAGACGGCGGTTAGATTAAGGAAATATTTCAGCTTGAAAAAGAGAAATCGCAAGGAGGAAGCCTAAGAGGAACGATCAGAAATCTAGAGGAGACATCCACATTGAGCCTAATCAAAGACAGTAGAAAAACTATAAGATCTATCTTCTGTAAAATTATTGTTTTTATACTTTACGGGCAAACTCGATGTCATTAGTTATGTTTCTACGACCTAATTGTTTGTCCTTACCGGATAATACATTACTTATATTCCACATGCACTGCATCAAACGAATTCTTAT